TAAAGACAGTATATTAACTTTTTTATAACTGAAGGTGAGTATCACTGATACCAATACTACTGATGTCTCTAGGAAATTATTTTTCCTAATATTTAACCATTGATATATGTAATGTTGACTATACTAACATTACAGTATAACTGAGAGCTATCAATTTTAAAATGTATTAGACTTTAAAAAATAACAACTTCTAATTTAAGTGAACTTAAAGCAATCTTCACATAAACTCATTATAATAAATGTCATATTTACCCGTGCCTTTCTGCAAGTAGGAAATATACTGAAATTGAATAAAGTTATCAAACAATAAATTCTATATTAAATATAGATGAATCCTTAAAGCTACAACAGTTATTGATTTCCTCTTTTTTCTTTTGTAATAAATGTCATATTTACCTGTGCCCTTCAGGAAAAATACAGAAATTGAATAACGTTATCAAACACTAAATTCTAAATTAAATATAGATTAATCCTTAAAGCTACAAAAGTTATTGATTTCATATTTTTTATTTTCTTCTTTGATTAACAGACATCACAACAGCTGCTATTATTTAAGAGCTGCTACTGTTGAACATGATGCTGATCTGACACACATGCTTGTAGTTTTATTTGTGCTTTAATATGAAATTATACAGGCTACAGTGCGCTTCGCCGTATTTGTGTGTGCAATTGAAGAGCATGCACTACGAGTACAGTAAAGCGGCTGACAGGACAGGAAAATTCGGTTTTACCGAATGATGTGGTCGTAAAGACATTTTGCGTCTAAATAAACACAATTCTTGTCAAAAAAAAGAGAGACAGAAGCAGCAGTTATGGGTGAGGTGGCCAACCCTAGCTCCGCCCTGCGTGAACTGCATTAAAGGTTTAGTTCACCCAAAAATGAAAATTAGCGCATGAATTACTCGCCCTCATGGCATCCTAGGCGTATATGACTTTCTTCTATCAGACAAATCCAGTTGGAGTTATATTAAAAATTGTCTTTGATCTTCCAAGCTGTTTAATGGCAGTCAGTGGGTGTTGCAGTTCATCAGTCCATAAGATGGTTATTTTTCTTACAAAAACGCACTGATTCGCTACAGCAGGCCTTTGTTCACCCCCCGCAGCCGTGTGAGGCACTTTTTATTATGGATGGATGCGCTTGATTTCACTTCTTTTGGACTGATGAACTGCAACACCCGCTGACTGCCATTAAACAGCTTGGAAGATCAAAGTCCATTTTTAATATAACTCTGACTGAATTCATCTGAAAGAAGGAAGTCATATACGCCTAGGATGGCTTGAGGGTGAGTAAATAATGGGCTAATTTTAATTTTGGGGTGAACTATCCCTTTAAATATTTTGAACACTGTTAAACTGAAAAAATTAATCAACTGTGTTAATGCGCTAATTTTGATTTTGACAGCACTAATATATATATATATATATATATTTATAAGAATCGAGAATACATCATATTTTAAATATATATTTGTGCATGCAAATGAATATATTATATAATTGAAAATAATAATATGCATGTTCCTAGTGCATTTACAAAAAGCAAAAGTAGGCTTAGATATGCTTTACCCCAAACTATGGTACTTTGACAGGTGTTTGGAGTTACCATGGTTTCATTTTTGTATGTTACATTGTTAATATGTAGGTGTCCAACATCTACGAGTTCTTTGGATGTCAGACACCTACATATGGAGGATCATCTGTGTCTCCACTGACTCTGAAACAATGGGGTTTTATGTATTACTTCATCAAAACTGAGACCCTGCTGATTTTTAAGGTCAAGGAGGATTAAAATCATATTAGCCAACATACTTTGATGCTTGATTTCAGGGAGTGCAAATTGCTCCTGCCAGCAGGTAAAGCCGCACGCCCAGATTGCACACCAGGCACGGCAACCCCACCTTTACGGGCCGCCGGTCTGAAACCTTCACGTATGATTACGCTACACGTTTCCACGCGCATAACCATACAGATAAACCCACACATACACCTGCTCCTGTCAGCAGGCCGGTGGGGCTCTTAATGAAAACTAGATTATACCTGTAGACAGAAGACTGCTGTACTCGTGACACAGGTGAGGACGACTGTTGTGATCCAAATTCTTGGCAAAGGTGCTGGAAAAACAGTGTCAGAGTTTTACGGATGTTTGTGGAGCTGGTTACCCGTGGTCATTTACCATGAAGGTTAACCTCCAAACACATAAAATGACTAAATTATGACTTACTGCCATATAGAGCTAATGCTCGCCATATGGCTGTGTATGGAAGCATTATGAGGCTCTTTGTTCAACTGGATTTGCTAAATGTCTCTAATTCTTCACAGACACAAACTAAATGTGTCTGCAGGCATTAGAGCATGTGTGATGCATTCTGCAATTGGTGAAATGTCCCGTGTCATTTAACCTGCAAAGACTAATGAGACCTTCCTCAGTTTTCCAGCCTGCGGCCGTAAGCAGTTGCTTTTTCATCCTTTTGGATTCTGTGCACTAGCTCAAATCAGATTTAAGATTAGAAAAAAAAATGCTAAAAATACTTTTTTTAGGGTGCCATAAAAATGTTTAGGGGAGAAACTAATTAGGGTCACAGCATCATGCCAGCACTGCATAAAACAAGAACTGCTGTTTCTTTGGAAACTGGAGAGAGACTTAAGTGTTTCCTGCTGTGGGCGAAAGGCACGCTGACATTCATCCTTTGATTCCCTTTGACCTCTGCACCGGATGAGTCTCAGGCACAGATGCTCAAGCTCGACAATACCACAACTACAGTACGCAGAGCAAGAATTATCATCTTTTATTACACCATCGCTGGAATTCATTATGACTGGTCAATCTGGAGTTCACATATCTTTGTATAATGAGTGCTAAACTCTATAATCTTACATTCTAAAGAAACTTAAAAAAAATAAATTTGAAAGTAACAAGAATTAATTAAGGATTTTATTATTATTATTATTGTTGTTGTTTTATGTAAATAT